TAGCCAAAGTGTAGGACCCGGCACTTGGCCTTGTTGAACCTCATCCCGTTGGAATCAGCCCAACTCTCCAACCTATCCAGGTCCCTCTGCAGAGCCCTCCTGCCTTCCAGCAGGTTGACACTCCCTCCCAACTTGGTGTTGTCTGCGAATTTGCTAATGATGGACTCAATCCCCTCATCTAAATCATCGATAAAGATATTAAACAGAACTGGGCCCAACACTGATCCCTGGGGACACCACTGGTGACCGGATCCCAACTGGATGCAGCCCTGTTCACCAGCACTCTCTGGGCCTGGCCCTCCAACCAGTTTCTAACCCAGCACAGAGTGCCCCTGTCCAAGCCGTGGGCTACCAGTTTTTTCAGGAGTATATTATGGGAGACAGTGTCAAAGGCCTTGCTGAAGTCCAGACAGACACATCCACAGCCTTCCCCTCATCCACCAGGCGGGTCACCTGATCGTAGAAGGAGATCAGGTTGGTCAGACAGGACCTGCCCTTCCTAAACCCATGCTGGCTGGGTCTGAGCCCTTGTCCATCCTGTAGGTGCTGTGTGATTGCACCCAGGATGATCTGCTCCATAACCTCGCCAGGCACTGAGGTCAGACTGACAGGCCTGTAGTTTCCTGGGTCCTCCTTCCGGCCCTTTTTGTGGATTGGTGTGACATTTGCCAACTTCCAATCATCTGGGACCTCCCCAGTGAGCCAGGACTGTTGGTAAATGACGGAGAGCGGCTTGGCGAGCTCTTCCGCCAGCTCCCTCATCACCCTTGGGTGGATCCCATCTGGTCCCATAGACTTGTGAGGATCCAAGTGGCTCAGCAGGTCGCTGATTGTTTCCTCCTTGATTACGGGGGGACTATTCAGCTTCATATTCCTATCTACATGCTCCAGAAGCCAGCTGTCCTCAGAGAGACCTGTCCTACTGTTGAAGACTGAGGTAAAGAAGGTGTTAAATACCTCAGCCTTTTCCTCATCTTTAATAACTGTGTTCCCCCCCATGTCCACTAAAGAATGGAGGTTTTCCTTGTCCCTCTTTTTGCTACTGATGTATCTATAGAAAGACTTTTTATTTTCCTTAGCAGAAGTGGCAAGATTGAGTTCAAATCTTGCCTTCGTCTCTCTGATTTTCTTTCTACATGACCTAACTAAATTCCTGAACTCTTCCTGAGTAGCCAGTCCTTTTTCCCATAATCAGTAGGCTCTCTTTTTCATCCTAATTTCCCTCAAGATCTCCCTGTTCAGGCAGGCTGGCTGTCTTCCCTGCCGGCTTGCCTTTCNGCAGACTGGGACAGCCTGCTCTTGTGCATTTAAGACTTCCTTCTTGAAGTATGTCCATCCCTGCTGGACCCCTTTGTTTTCAAGGGCTGTTTCCCACGGTACCCTCTGAACCAGTCTCTTGAACAGGCTGAAATCTGCCCTCTGGAAGTCCAGCATAGAGGTTTTATTGATGGCCCTTCTTGCATCCCTGAGTATTGAGAATTCTATTATTTCATGTGGTCACTGTGCCCTAGACGGCCTCCGACCACCACATCTCCCACCAGCCCCTCTCTGTTTGTGAACAGCAGGTCTAGCAGGGCCCCATCCCTGGTAGGCTCATTTACCAGCTCGAGCAGGAAATTGTCTTCTATACATTTCTCTAGGAATCTCCTAGACTGCCTCTTCTCTGCCGTGTGGAGTTCCCAGCAGACATCCAGCAGGTTAAAGTCACCCACAAGCACAAGGGCTGGAGATTTTGAGACATCTGCCAGCTGCTTGTAGAAAAATTCATCATCCTCATCATCCTGGTTGGGTGGTCTGTAACAGACTCCCACCAGGATGTCAGCCTTGTTGGCCTTCCCCCTGATTTTGATCCACAGGCACTCAACCTTATTGTTACTGACTTCAAGTTCTAAAGAGTCAAGAGACTCTCTAACATACAGAGCCACCCCTCCACCTCTCCTACCTTGCCTGTCCCTTCTGAAGAGCTTGTAGCCATCCACGGCAGCATTCCAGTCATGTGAGTCATCCCACCATGTTTCTGTGATGGCAACTACATCATAGCTTTCCTGCTGCACGATGGCTTCCAGCTCCTCTTGTTTGTTGCCCATGCTGCGTGCATTGGTGTACATGCACTTCAGGTGGGCTGCTGATTTCGTTCTTAACTCAGGCTTTCTGTCCTTAGGCTGATCACTGGAGAGCCCGGTTTCAATCCCTTCCCCCTTCAAACCTAGGTTAAAGCCCTCCTGAGCAGCCTTGCCAACTTATGCACTACAGTCTGTCGCTGGGTATCTGTCGAAGGGGTCCCGGTCTGAGGGGGGGAAGAAGACACACAACATAGGATGATGAGACAAAGAGATGTCTGCCTGCTCAGCACAGCAGGCAGCCTTTTATTAGGTTTTTCTAACTATTTTCTCACACACATAACACAAACATCTTTCTACAAAAATACTAAGGAATGTGCACCTGCACACAGCTCAAGGCTGTGTCCATGGGGATTATCTGGTTGGTTTCACTGCTCCCATGATGTAGCAGTTCGTTTGGATACATGTCCGGAATAAAGACAAGTGCCAGAAATACTCAAACACACAAAATATCTTTTATTACAGTGAGAATAATAATAGTAATAGTAATAAACTTAGCAAGAGGAATCAAAAACTAAAAAAGGATACAAA